AGTTTTGAGTACAGCTTACTTGAGAAATTTAAGGCAATCTGTTTCCACACATTTGTCTAGTAATGTGAACAAAGCAGACTTGTTAAGAGAACTGTTTTGTTTGAGTTCCGTGCACTAAGCTTAACTTACATCTCGAAGTTGGCTGAACTTGTCAAATTGAGTTAGCAACACTCAAGTTTTCTGGTAACCTATACATATACACAAGTTACCTATACAAAGTTACAGTAAGTTTTATTAACTCAAAAATGATAAACTAATTTGCTTGAGAAATTTGAGGCAATCAGTTTCCACAGGTTTTCCAAGTAAGTTCAACTAATTACTTTTTACAGTGGGGGCATCAGGTGAGCAAGCTAGTGAAACGTTGCACGCACAAAAGAGAAGGTCTGCACACATCCAAAAACGGATTTTAAATGCAAAATTGATTTCCGTGCGCTCGAAAGACTTTTTTCTCTGCGAAACGAACATTTTCTACACAAAACTCAGATCGCGTGCGTGCAAAATGCACTTTAGTGCGCTCAAAATATGATCTTTCGCGCGCAGAATTGTGGCAGAAATGTAAGCCCATATTTGGCCAGCTGACCAATCAGAGCAGAGTAGGCTTATGGAAGGGAGGGGTTTTCTCCGAACTTGCTTGGAACGAATCGTTTAGAAATCATTGACAAATGACTCTAATATTAAATGTATATTCTTAGAAAATTACAATGTTTTCTGACCTTAGATCCATTTAAACCTGTTGTAGGGGACTCCGACACAATATTAGGACACTTTAAAATACCATATGACCTGCTCTTTAAACCGATAACTGAATAACTAGATTACAGTGGTGATAGTCCATTCTCAAAAAAGGCCTTTAAAAACTGGTAAGACATAGTTTATAGTTTCGTTTCGCATATTAGTTTAAGCGGCTCGCCCCTTCATATGCTCTGACAGAAAGGCTGCATGTGCCGCTGACAGAGACAGGCTACTCGCGCTGTTTAATATGTTTGAGATGTGCTGTCTTCCTGAATGCATAACTTACATTTCGCAGGTATATTCTCCATCTGTAAATGTTATAAAGCCATGGAAATATTTCCATTTTGCCGTCAGGAGTGCATGAGCCTTCTGCTTTGAGATTCTTCACTAAACTTCAGTGAACGAGCGCCGCCGCGTGCATGCGCGCCAAACAGATGGAGCTCAATAGAGAATGGGAATGTGTCATCACAGCAGCAATGCATTCTGGGACTTTAGGTCACGGGAGCTACAGCGGAGACTGCATAATATAGTGAATGTAGACGTTTGATATTATTTAATGTTTATATTATTCTACGTAAGATTGCGTTGGAGTGGTTAAGGCTCACTTTACATAATTTGCCATAGCCCTTTGCACGGCCGGTGTGAAAAATGCCTGAAAAAAGCATTAAGAGAGCTGAAAAAACAGAGGTATTTCATGCAGACATTGATAAGGGCTATGTCTGCAGGAAATACCTCTGTTTTTGATTAACGCTGTTGATACAGTAAGCGTTAATAATTTCAACGCTATCTTAAGTTTAATTATATAAACATAAAATAATATAAAATGTCTAATAAATTCACTACAGAACTCGGATGAAAGTTAAACTGAAACTCGATATGGTAAACAACTCAAATAAGACGTGGCTTAATAATTGATCTGTGTAGATTTATTATATACAGTGATTTGCATTAAACTGTAAGCCCTCACACTACAAATAGAAGAAAATCATATATAAAAACGTTATCTTGCAGCAGCTCGTTGATACCCAGCCACTTGTTTGTACGGATTAAGTTTCATTCATTTATTTGATCGCTTGCATCTTTGTTTGGCATCGCTAATAGTAAGGAATCTTCAACTTGGTTCATTTAAGTCAAAGTATTTATTTGCATAGCATCCACAATACATTTTTTTTATTTAAAGAGATTTACATATTAGTCCGTTTTATTCTAAGAGTATGTACGATGGTTTTCAAAAAAAATATTAATAGTAAACGGTCGGCTTTTCTGTGGTGATTTGCATGTGTTTACAATGTGTGCTCCTGAGCGTGACCTAAAACATGGCGGAATCCAACGCGGCATGACGTAGATTCCCATTCTCTATAGGAGCGCAATAATTCTGACTAAAATATACATTTCGCTGAAATATTTGTAGTTGGACAATAAATGTAACATGTAGAATTTTAAACCTACAAGTCTATTTTTATGATAGCACTGACAGTAAAGTGACTGTAATGGGGTAATCAAAATAGCCTAACACAACTCTGTGCTTTTGTTCTCATTTATTTTAATTTTTAGTTTAGTGAATTTAACTTCCACTTTAAAAGCCTTATTTTTGTTTTTAGATTGCAGTAAGTGAAATATATATATATTAAATACAGGTTTTTTTTATCCAAATACAAAAACGCAAATCGGCCAAAAAATACAGAGATATGAATTTTTGCCCATATCGCCCAGCCCTAAGCATAAGCAATAGGAATAGCCATACTTGCCTAATTAAATTAAGTTCACTCTCTGACTTTATATAACAGGTTGCTAAACAGGTCTTTAGTAATTCATTGAGAAATCTAAAAGTGCTGTTTTCACAACTGTTTGTTTTCTACAATTGTGAAATGGACTTCTCTTCTGAGAAATATCATAAAGGGTGATCATACCGAAGCACCATTTCACAGAGCCGTTTATACTGTCCAACAGTCTGCAGAATGGGAATTCAGGGTAGGCCACACTAAACAGCTCGGCGCATCTGGCAACCTCATCAGTAATTCTAAGAACTCATAAACTGACCAGAGATCAGTCAACACTGGGAGAAATTCCTTGAAATAACACCCACTAGCACCAAGCATGCAATCAATTAGGAAAACACACAGAAACTGTTTGGTGCCGATGGAACTTCCTCTCTGAAGTTTAACGGCTACTCTAGGTGATAGCCAAAGACAATGGCGCAGGTTTAGTGATTTCATAACAAAAGAACGAAAGTTTTTTTTTTAAAAACCCCCGTTCAAAAATAGGTATGTAAACTGGCATTCAGGCAGCATGATTTGCTAATGAGAACATTTGGACGGGAGGATTAGATATGCAGGTGTGAAACAGTTTAAAGTGTGTTTGCACGCTCTTACCTAAGGTGCAAGTCCTCCGAATATTTCAGGCAGGCGTAGATGAATTCTTTGAGTTGTGAGTATACTTTAGGCACAAATTCAGAAAATGGCAGCTTCTTTGGAAAAGGCATCTGTTTAGAAAAATTATACGCGTAATTAAGTAAATACATTAAAGCACAGGGCAAGTGTTCTGGAGGGTTTAAAATCAGAAATCTGTGAATTTTGTATTTTTGTTAAAACTATTCATTAAATGCTTGTGTGAGCCGTAAAGTTGTCTAAATCATTCTTTTAGTGTGGTACTAGTCTAGTTGGACACTTCTGGTTCTGGGGTGTATTTTAACAGATGCTTTGCCATGTGTACTTCCATTGTAAGTGTTTTAAATGTAATCAAAATTTTTGCTCAAAATGAAAAATATTGACAATCTGTAACAAATGCTGTAGATAGAGCACACTGGGAGATTTCCTTTATAAAGAAAACAAAGAGGCAGCCTAATCGCATGAAAAAGAACAGCTGCAAGTATCACCAAGAAAGGTAGCATCCTTTGATTACTATAACAGTATTGGGCAGTAGTTCTTGTTGACGTCAGTGGGAGAATTCAAATGTATGGCTAAGTTCAAGTATTTCAGGGGATGCGCATGTTAGTAATCAACTTCTTGGACAGCAGGAGGATATTTGTGTCTTTGTGGAGACTGGAGGGTGTGTAATTGAGGGAATCTGTAAGAAAATCTGTGGGATAAAAGCTTTCTTATGTGCCTAATGTTCACCTTGTCGAGCTCTGGATCCTGGAAGGGGCATTGGCCTGCTATTCGTTGGTACTCTTCAGGGGATGCCACGGGAATGGGGCTGTAGTTGTCCTGATCCAAGATTTGCCTAAATCAACAGAATACGTGTGAGGAGGGAAAAGACCTGACTTCCCAGATCAACTGATCATAAACCTGAGGGCAAGAGCAGGATAATAAAGAAGACTAAATAATCTAAAAACCATTTACTGGACTCATGAGCCGTGTGTCTGTGTTTGTGTAACTCATCATGGCAAACACACATAACACATTTCCTTGAATGCCTGTTCCCACAGTAATGTCATTCTGGCCATTCAAAGACTCCAAAGCATCATTCTTTTATAGAGTGAGTCAAGTGTCTCTGACAGGGAAGGAAAAGCATCTCCAGCAAGGTTACAACAACTTTTCCATGTCATCTGCTCTTAAAATTCAACCAAACAAATCGTAGCTCCAAGGAGCTTTAACATTTTTTTCAACAACAAATTGAAATTTTTTGGATTAAATGCTCTTTAAAGGGATCCCAGCACAAAAAAGAAGAAAATATTTGTCCTTCAAGCAATATGATTTAGTCATATGGGGGTAATTTGATCAGTGATTTTAGATGGTTTGGTCTGACAAAATTTCCCTGTCCTTCAACTGTCCTGCAATACACAACCTCTGCAAATATAAATCTCTGAGCACTACAGGTATCAGATTGAGTCAATTTCCTTAAATGGTAGTTTGATATAGGGCATTAAAAGTGGATATTTCATTTAAAAAATGGATGTGTGGTTACCAAGTATTGAAATAAAGAACAGAACAAATGACTTATAGTAAACGCAATATGATTTACGTTGAACGCGCCTTACATTTGGACATAACCCTATTAGTATAATTCCTTCCGTGTGGATTTCTCAAGGCCAGGGTCATAAGGTGATAACCAAGTCGTCATTTTCCTAACTCAAATGAGAAACTGAGGGATAGAGATGCAGAAAACAGAGAGACAGAAAGCACCTGAAGGACTGGTTCCACTTTTTCAGCAGGATCTCCCCATATTGATCCCTCATCTCCAGCAACATATCAAACAACTGGTTTACTGGAAAACCATAACCCTGCAGTGAGAGAGAGGAAAAGAGAGGAGGTGCAAATTAAAAGACAGCAAATTAATGCAACTCTCAGCAGAAAACAGGATGAAATGGTTTTTATACATTTACACTTGATATTATGATTAATTATTTGGAAATAAAACAAACACCATATTAACCCTTTTCGTAATGTCTACTCAATGCTTTATTTGTCGGTCACAATACTGTTTTTAAATTATATTCACTTTTCTCAGAAAATATTGCAGTATGTGATTATTTATATCCATGTCGATTAATCAACATATGTAATTTGACAAATCCTATCCAATGTACTAAAATGTTATAATCAGGTACTACTCCACTCACCTGCAGTGTGTCTGCAAACAGCACTATAAGATTCTTCAGATCTAAAATCAGGTCTGGATCAGTGCAATAAGACTATGGAGACATGAGAGTAAGAGTGATGGATTACAGCAGAAGCAGAGGAAGGACAGCACAGGGATTTAGATTACCTGATATAAACACAAGAAAAGACAGCTTTTATACAACATTAACTGTACTAAGATTTCCAGTTGAGTATCTGACAACAGAGCTGTTCAGTTTGTAGTCCTAAAACCTACAAGAGGATTAAGGTTCACTCTGAAATTTAAGAATTTTGTTTTTAGAATAGTGTTTTCAATTTATTAGTAAAATAAGGTCTGCAGTTTGCTAACTATATAAGGACAACAAACACCACAAAGATGTGCGTTTACTTACTCGGACAGCTGTTGCAGTCCTTTTGCAGGAACTTGCAAATTAAATTTTTAAATCAGACAACTGTTTCAAACTTCACATGTGAGGTACATCTGTGTGTAATTTACACTAATGTTCAAATATTGGGGGTTGTCAATTTTTTTTTTATAATTATGGTAACACTTTACAATAAGGTTCATTATTTAACAGTGAACTACTTCAGTAGTTAACTGTATTACTGTATTATGGTAGTGTATGACGTAAATATAACAAAATAACAAAATGTGAAAATATCTTCAAGTAAAGGTAACCAGACACCTTATTGTACTAGAAAACCACTATCCTTAAAAATCCATCAGAAAATCCAGAGGGAAGCCATTAGCCGTCCAGGCTGGCCATAAAAATAATGTCTGCTTGAACAGCTCTACTGCTTGTCTTGTTCAGTGTGTGTTAGGTGTGTAGTGTGCAAACATACTGAATGCGTACGCAAGGCTGCAATGGTCTTTGAAAGGGCCAGCTCCCACAATTCTTCCACGTAAGCCCTGTTAACCAGGCCCTGTGTGGTGTGCAAGATGTGGTCCTCCACTACAAAAAAACTACAGGACACATACAGGGAAATACAAGAACAACTTAAAGAATGTTGGAAAGTGTATGGAACACAAACAGTTAGTACATTATAACATCATAGGAAAGCATTAAACTACATCAATAATATCCCAAAATGGGCACAATGAGGCTTTCCAGCACACAAAGGCATCAGAGTCATCGAACATCCCAGCAACATTTTAGAGAAATCCCAGCCATCCCTCTGTGTGAGTGCCCTAAGCCTTTTTTGTGCCACTTAAGATGTTTGTAAAAGCCTCCGTAACAGACACTATCTGCCACTCCACATCCCCAGAACCATCAATTCTAAAGCTAAGAGTGTTTTTCAGCAGCACTGGGATGGAGAATCAGGAAGGGCCAGAGGAAGGGGATCGTTTGGCTAAAGGGAGGGTCGAACACTGAGCCAAAAAAAGCTTTGGCTGTTTTAATTCTCTTCTATATTAAAAATGAACATTGTAAGCATGTATAATTGATTTTCAGTTAATTTGGCCATTCAAAACAAAATGTGCCCTGCACTCACCCGACAATTTGATTGAAGTAGTGCCTGTACCCCTCTAACGTTTCATGCTGGAGACCACAGGAAAGAAAAAAGAAGATTTTATGAACATCAGGTAACTGAGCAGTCCAATATTACAGCTCTTTTTTAAGGTTTTTATTACTTATGGAATAAACTAGATTACCTTAAAACATTTTAAAATTTGTGTCAGAATTATGAAAGAATGTTACTTCTATTACCTCAATAATAAGTCATATTACTGACCAAATAACAACATGTACATTGACATTCTGCAAATGTCTTCAACACGTTAGCATACACTTCAGGTCAAAAGTTTTTGACTGTAAAATTGTTTAATATTTTTGAAAGAAATCAGTCAATAATTCAGTTTAAAACAGTAATATTGTGAAATTTTAATACAACCCTCAAATAACTTTTTTCTATTTTAATTCATAGTAACATTTAATTTCTTATTATTTTCAATGTAGAAAACAGTCGTGCCGCTTAATATACTAGCGGAAACAATTTGAAATAGAAGATTTCTGTAACATTGTAAATTATCTTTACTGTCACTTTTTATAATTGTATTAATTCCTTGCTGAATACAAGTATGATTCTGTAGTATGAAAAAATGCTACTAACCTCAAACTTTTAAATGGTACTGTATACATTAAGTATTTTGTAATGACATTAAGTGCACAGATATGAAAAAATGTGGAAAATATGTACAACTCAGCTCTGCTAGAAGAAAAACTTAAAGAGTCCAACAACTGAGCTATATGTTAACTATAAATGATTCAATCGTTGTTCAAGCCAATGAAAACTATATATGAACACCACCACACTAAAAGTCCACATATGAATTTTCAGGCCCTAAATGTACTATACATGTCAAGTTCCTGGTAAGCATCCATCTCAAATAAGCATAAACTTGTACATTATGTAATGATAATGGCTTACCTCATACATAGTTCCTGATAGTTTATGTGAGGTGATGTTAGTGATTGGGGGTGGTGCAGTGAATATGATTGAAGGGTGTAAAACAGACAGTCAGACAAAGCATGTGCTTAGGCAGTGTGAGAGGGCGTACCATGTTAGAGTGAGGCTGCAGCACAAGTCGGGCCTGTTTCCGCCGCTGCTTCCTGTAGTAGTTCTCAAATGTGTCCCGGGCACCCTGGGTAAAGCAGATACACATTCTAAACACCTGAGTGGGAATAAGGCTATTTACTAAAAGGCGTGACTCATTTTGAGTGAACAGCTCTGTGACCACTGAGTTCCAGTCATTTAAGACTTGTAATTACACCAAAATATAAAAATAAAAAATAAAAATCTTAAGATGACTGGAGGTCATAAGAGGGGAGATGATGACTGAGAGAAGCAGTTAACACAGGAAAACAAATTCTCATGCTAAACTTCAAATAAAAGCATATCAGGTACTTTCTCTCCTAATCTCATAGTACGATTCAGAATACAGCACAGCAGAGGCTTGCAGTCTAAAAACAAAGGCCCTCATTCACCACTAAAAGACTTGATCCTTTTTCCAGAGTCCCAGAGTGCAGTTCCTGTCCACCTCACACAGAGTGCTATCAAAGTCTACAAGGGCATGACACCAAAACATACACACACACACCCCTCAGAACAGAGCGCAGAAACAAAACAGTAACGCACAGAGTGACAGAGATAAAGACAGAAAACAGCGTCAGCATGGTAGGACTTATCACTACTTCCGGTCAAGGGCCTCTCTGAATTTATCTAGCCAGAGCGGGTGACTGTACTTCTTAGCAAAGATAGTAAAACAGGACAAGACTTGACCACACAGAACCAGTTTATAAATAACAAAAGTGAGATACAAGCTCCGTTTCAGATCTAGAGAGCCTTTTGCTGGTCCGCAGCCTATATAGGTAGCTGCACTGTGTGACACACTAAAATATAGCCGAATTTATGTTTTTTTTGTAATTATATGCCATTTCATAACACCAGAGACATCGTTATTGAGTATTACAGTGAATTTTCAGCAACCACAGCTGCCAGTTTTTTACTAAACATTTTATGGAATATTTTTACTTACTTTATAATATCATATTTTTAATTAGATGTAATTATTTTTTAAATACTTTTAAATGTATTTAAATATTTTTATAGCCACTGAACAAAATGAGTATTCATAATAGAAAACTTTAACTTGGTCTGCCATCTTGAATGACTTTTTGCATTAATTAAATCCTAATGCAGGATACATTAAATTAATTATAATGCATCTGTCAAAGCTTTGCATCAGCTTTCATATCGGTGAGCTTAAGATGACTAAAATGCTGTATATGAAGGAAGCTTACTAGGTTTTTGAATAGAGCTGTAGTCTTTTGCAACATTGTCATTTCTGATGCTTCAATGTACAGCGAATTATAGCATACTTATTACGCCAGAGTCCTCACTAAGGGCACAATAGTAATACGGAGTCTCTCAAGCATTTAAACTAGTAATCATTTGGTTACCAAACCCAAATAGTTAACCAAGACCACCAAAATATAATGATGTGTGGGGAGGAATAAGGTTTGAGAAATAAGAATTGAAAGAGAAAAAAAGCGGGCACAGAATTGGAAAAGCATTATATACATTTTGAATGACTTCAGAACAACCTTAAACCTTTAATAACAGCAGGGATCGAACAGATATTCGGCTTTGACCACAGAGGACTTCACAGCACAATGAAAGGCTGAAAGCGAAACAATTCAGTGAGGAACATAAGAAAATATAAGAAAGAAAGTAACTTGCTCAACACAAAATGCTGCATTTTCCTCTCACAAAAAGTACTGGGAAATCTGATTCATTTTAGCCAGTTGGTTCATTCATCAAATTATGAAAAAATGGATTGAATGATTCATAACCACTCTACTTTGAAGCTGCAACTTGTCAAAATGTATGCTGCTCATAATTTAAAGTAGTTTCCCCAAGACCGAACAATCCAAAGTGGGGCAAAATGACTCCTGCACAATATGGATGTGTATTACCTCAGAATCCGTAAAAAGAAATTCTGGAGAAGGAAAAAAGGATGTTCAAGAAGAATGCCATGTTATGTGCGAAGGGAATTTAACGGAGTGTGTCCATCCTGTTGGCTATACAAGTTATTCTGTATAAGACTGAGAAGAGCAGGTCTACCAACTGCAGTCTAAACCCAGTTAATCGTGTCCAAATGCTCCATCTCTTATAGATGTTCCTTAAAGGGAATGCTGTTTCATGCATTCAGAGTTGTTTACACAGTTTAAAGGGATCATATGATGCTGCTAAAAAGAACATTATTTTATGTATTTGGTGTAATGAAATATGTTTATGTGGTTTAAGGTTCAAAAAACACATTATTTTCCACATACTGTATCTTATTGTTTCTCCTCTGTGCCCCGCCTTTCTGAAACGCGTAGATTTTTACAAAACTCATCGGTCTGAAAAGCAAGGTGTGCTCTGATTGGCCAGCTATCCAGTGCGTTGTGATTGGCCGAATACTTCAAGCATGTGACGGAAATGTTACCATACTCAGCGACCCTCACCATACTATGATGTCCTGTCAGGCCGGAGCTACGAGACAAAAACATTAAAACCCATTATAGACGAGGCATTAGTTGCATCAAGTGGGGACATAATTACTGATTATAATGACTTATACCGTCTTTTTACGCATTGCATGCATCATAACGCAAAAACATAAAACCATGTCTGCATTTCTGATAGGAGAAATGAAAAACAACAAGCGCTTCTCTACACAGCCCAAAACTCGCGTTTGAATCATCAGTGGCAAATTCTTTAAATATAAAAGACGTACTTACAGTCTGTGAGTCAGAACAGAATTGTAGTCTAATCTCCCAGGAAACAGTCCTCCATAAAATGTGCTGCACACATCTGAATATTTGGGTTGACGTGTTCTGGAACAGTGTCGTAAATACAACTTAACCACTGATTTCTAGTCATGTCCTCTTTTGGAAGACCAAACAAAGTAGTTTCACTTTCACAACGAAATACAGCGTCACACACGGTGGGCTTGAGTGAGCTGCGGTGGCCTAGAGTGAGCGACGGCCGGTGGGCTTGCAGCAACCACATGTGACGACTCCGGATTGGACTTCGCGTCGTCCATGGTGAAAGCCGATCCGGCGATTCCAGCGCGAACTTGATGTATTTCCTCAGCGACCAGCACGGATCAGCTCTAGGCATGAGGAAGTGGATACAAAAAAAAAACATGAACAAACAATGCACAGTCAGAATAATAAGAACTAATAATAATTAAATATACATATATAAATAAATATTATGACGGAGTATTTCTGTGGCAAAAATCTTACTTACGGGTTCGTACAAGTTTCGGAGAGTTTTTTTCGATTGTGGCTCTTCATGACGTAAACGAGGGTGGAACTCGTTTCAATATGTGCATTTCTCCCGGAAAAGCACGTGCACACGTAGACCAGAGCGAGAGCGCGCCGATCAACGCGCTTCATCCGGCGGCAGCATATCGCCAATTCAAAGAAGTGTGTTTTTGGTTATAAGGGAAATATACAGTGGGTACGGAAAGTATTCAGACCCCCTTAAATTTTTCACTCTTTGTTATATTGCAGCCATTTGCTAAAATCATTTAAGTTCATTTTTTTCCTCATTAATGTACACACAGCACCCCATATTGACAGAAAAACACAGAATTGTTGACATTTTTGCAGATTTATTAAAAAAGAAAAACTTTTCAGTTTTTCTTTTTTAATAAATCTGCAAAAATGTCAACAATTCTGTGTTTTTCTGTCAATATGGGGTGCTGTGTGTACATTAATGAGGAAAAAAAATTAACTTAAATGATTTTAGCAAATGGCTGCAATATAACAAAGAGTGAAAAATTTAAGGGGGTCTGAATACTTTCCGTACCCACTGTAACTGTGTTCAACTTCCTAAAAAACCCAGTGTTATGTAAACAGTGGATACAGTTTGTTTTTCCGGGGCAGCAACGGAGTTTCACAAGTGTGTTTGTTGACGAACGTTTTATAAACAAGGCCCAGTTCAACGCTGGATTTGCACATCGTTTGATACTGAAATATCGAGCGGTCCCAGCTATAAAAAATCCCGGTCATGATTTAGAACTGCAAACGGTAAGTGAAACGGCATCAAATGTCTGTTTTTTGATGGCATTCGGCACCCAAGTGCTCGTCACTCTTTAGCTCCGCCCACGGCGCGCCTCCAGTAGCTCTGCTTTTTCCGGAGAGAATCGTAAAGCTGTATTTTTCTTTTATAAATATGATAAAACTAAAGACTTTTTGGAGTACTACTCCATAGGTACTCAAGATTAACATGAGATTGGGTGAAACTGTGTGTGTTATGACCCTTTAACCTAAACAGTCCAAATCAAAGGAGAACAGTGCCAACATCGAATATCAAATAAAAATCCACACTAAAGTTCAGCTGAACTTCCCTCCACAAAGGTCAAGTGCCTCAGATCTCCAGAGCTCAACTAATAAAGAAAGTGACGGATATAGCGGTGTTGGACAGCTGAATTTTGGGTGTGGTTCTCTGGGTCGGAGAAGTAGGATGGAGGCCTGTTCTGTGTTTCTCCTTCTCCAGGGCTCCCTGCTGTAACCGGCCCATCACAACCACCTTGTGTTTACATGGATCAGAACACAGACCAGAACTGTCAGAGAACTGAGACACTGTTCAAACCTTACGTTCCATCAGAAGTAAAGAGGAGGAGTTTGAGCTGGAAGTGGGTACAGGAGGGTACAAATGCTGTGCAAATCAACCACCAATACATTCTAATAAAAAGTCCAAAATGGACTATGTGACAAAAAACTAAAACAAAAAGTAAGATACGGAGAGCCAACAGAAGTAAGAGAACAAACTGTGAGCCCTCTGAGATCTCCATCATCCTCTGATCTCTGACACAGTAGCGCCATTAAATCTCAGCGGCTACACTTGAGGTCAGACTGGTTTAAAAGGAAAATGCCATTTCAGTTTGGCTGTTTTCTGGCAATGCAAAAACAATAAGCATTTATGGTAAGTGCAAGACCTCGAGACAGAGAGGTCACATTTTCAACAAGTCGTGCTTCCTATTTTCTCTGTTTTCTATTCTATTGCAATCTGCTGTTGTCTTTTAATTCCACCACCCCATGTTTTTCCTCTGTCCGTTTGAACTTTATTATCGTCAGATTCATAAAAATGTCAAGTGTTTGACGGCAGTGTGAAGAAAAACTTAAAACACATTGTCTTCAATTTAAGTTTTTTCTAGCCAAACTTGACCAAAGAACAGGCTGTACCCTCTAACTGACACTCTGACCTCTTCCTTGTCCTGTTCTTTTTCTCCGTCCTTATTCTTTCCATTCCTCGGCTTGACTTTAAAACCGGAGTTCAACTTCCTGTCCCTCTGCAGCAGCTCCACACTTACAGTTCCACTGTGTTCCAGTGTACTGTCTCACACACATACAAAAAAAGGCCAGGGACACCGTGGCCGGGTCACAACCCTCTGGTATGAAGGAAACTCAGGTGAACCCCCTGAGCGTCTCCTGCCGATTCCCAGCTCGGGCCATCTGGAGTGCAGCCAGCTCAGAAGTCAGAGCAGACCCAAAAAAAAGGGCCATTGTACATGTACAGAACCAAGGTCATGAACAATTTCTGTATTTCAAGTTCATTGTTTATTGTCATTTCTCCCACAGGGAGAAACAAAACACGGTATCTCCGATAGCATCATAATGAAAGAAATAAGGACACATCTAGCAATAGCAAAAATAATGACAGCAGTGCAATAGACAAATCTATGCAGCGTTATGTCATAAATTAAACTAGAATAATGAGTCTGCAAATGTTGCAATGAGGTAAACCATGGAGTGCAATAATAAACATTAAATAGTAGTCCTTAAAGAAGCATAGTGTAATAACAATCATTGAATTGTAGTCCTTAAAGTAGAGTAGGGCAAAGTATGTTTGGAGGGAGAGTTAACATGGCATTCAGAGTCCATTGTTGGGCCCACAAGAAACAAGAGATTAAAGATGAGGGCAGTGGTCAACCACAGCTGTTAAGTAACCTGATCACCTGAGGAAAGAAACTGTTTCTCAGTCTTGTAGTTCGTGCTCGAACACTTCAGAGTCTTCTTCCAGATGGGAGTAGGCAGAACAGTTTTTTTTTTACAACCTTGTGAATGTCCTCCATAGATGGGAGACTGGATGCAATGATGTTCTGAGCAGCCTTTACCACCCTCTGTAGGACCCCCTGTCAGCGGCCGAACAACTGCACAACCAGACTGTGATGTTATTGGTCAGGATGCTCTCCACTACACATCTAAAAAAAAGTTGATCATTATGATGTTACTCGTGGCTGCTTTTTTAAGTCTTCTCAGAAAGCGTAGACATTGTTGGGCTTTCTTCACCAAGGAAGTGATGTTCTTGTTCCATGAGAAATCATCTGTTATATGAACACCACAAAACTTCAACGACGCTTCCAACTATTTCTACTTGGCCATTTGACTAATTTCCCTCCCTTCCATAAGTGTCTCTCTGCCCCTCTCACTCTTTAAAGTAACAAGTAGCCGTGTTTACTTGAAGTTTGTTTAAATTATCAGGAGTGATGTCATACTAAGGCCGATCGCCATATAAACATACAACAGCCTCAACAACTTCCTTCCTGTGGGGGCGTTCAGGACAGTGAATATACAGTGAATGGGAAGTATCTGCCATATGTGCATTCAAACACGGGCGTTCATGAGTGTGTGCTCACCGTTTAAACAAAAAAGTCCTTTGGGGACATATAAAGTGCAATTCTGATTGTTTTTGTATAAGCAAGCAGTGTGATTTCCCAGGGTCTGAGGTGACACAAGGGTCACCACAGAAAGGAAACACAAAAACTTTAATATTCCTTCTTAAAAAGAAACGCATCAACTCGCTTATCGGGGCTCTTTTCTAATTAGTTTGCTTTCTTTCTTTCCTATAATTTCAAAAGTGTTGGTGTGTGTCCCCTCTATGACTCCCTGCCTGGTCACTTTCAAACAACTCTTGTCCTTTACTTTTCCTCACTTTCCTTTGCATCCTCAGACGGCTCCTACACCTGGTCTCCAGAACTGCCCCAGCATGCCATTCTCACAAGTTTCTATTACAAAGACTATTGTAGTAATGACAGTCCGTCTGCTCACACTTGAAATGTACAGGCCGGAGGATCATAAAAGTGATATTCCACCAACTCAAACAATTCGAGTCTTCATGAGGAGCTGTCAGCACGTACACTCCGAAAACAAACATGTGTACTCGCGTTTAAAAAAAACAAACAAACAAACAGACGTATCCACCCAAGCACGTAGACCTACACCCAATTCTTGGTCGTATTTTGAGGCATACTACAAAAGCAAACCGTTTAAAGACTCTTGACTCCATAGCTGCATGTCTAGCAAGTTAATAGGTAATAAATGAACAGTGATGCATTTAAGAAATGTTTTTCATTACTTGTGGCTGCGTCAAATGCAATATTTGTTTGTGCAGGAAACATTCCAGGGTACTTTTGGGTGGCAAACATGCTGGTGGTAAACTATGGGGCAGTTTCCACTGGCAAATTTCAGCAAAGTCATCTACAAACAACTGGTGCTAGCAGCTTAGAATCAAAATGACCAGCCAGCATTGATTAACACATGTACTTATCATGAAGCGATACAAATCAATTTAGGGCTGCATAGTTTGGACCAACAACAAAAAAAATCAAAGCGATTATTTTGTGAAATATTGAAATTTGAAATAATATGAAAAACATCTAATATCCAAATAAAGGCCATTTAAAAAACAAAAAGACAAAAATCACAATGAAATAATTATTTGCCATGTTCAGCAAGAACTACATAAGCGCATGTGATCCTTTTGACTTCAAATTAAGTTAGTTTTGGCTAGGGCAATTTGAATTTTTTCACTTAATGATGCAACCATACATTAAATCAAAATGATTTACACATACACTACTGTTCAAATGTCTGGGATCAGTAAGATTTTTTTATGTCTCTTTTTTTTTTTAAATGCTCACCAAGGTTGCACTTATTTGATCAAAATACAGTATAAACAGTAATATTGTGAAATATTACTGTTTTCTGGTATATTTATCACAATAAAAATACACATTCGTTCACAAACTCACATTTTCATGAATATATTTTGAAAACACACAAGACATTTTCTCTCTGAGAAAGAGAAAATCTCTCTCACGAGAGGCCTTGGGGAACAAAGTGCAGGTAATAGTTATTAGCGTGAGGGCCAACACAGAGATCATATTCTGATCAGACAAGTCAAACCTGAAATAAAATAGATAGCAAACAGGACATACTCACCAATACAGTGTAGATGTGTAAACAGCGATACACGGGAGAGAAGTCCACCAAGTCCTGCGCACCAGGAATCTGCAATACAGTACAAGTCAATGAGAGACACATCACCTGTATGAGCAGCACTAAAGCTGGAAATCACTAAGAACAATATTAAAACTTACTTTTCAACTAGAATCTATTTGGAATTCAAATGTCATGAAAATGAATGCAGCGCATAATAGCTTTTACCAGATTTAACTGGTCACAAAAGAAGTTTCCTTTCTCTTTACGTCCCTTTGACCTGAGCCACCCTTGAACTTGCCAGTAAGGAAAGACTCTTTTTCTAAAAGTAAGCCAAACAATTGGACAACTAAACAATGCCAGCTTTGATCTGGTGCCCACAAAATGGCAACCAGGGACATACAAAACCAACTATGTTGTGGCACCACCAACAATAACCCAGAGAGAATGTGGAAAAAACAATTCAGTCTTGATGCACCACTGGGACAGCGCTGGAAATGTCTGTCCGGTTCAGGGACGGCAGAGTTCACATTAACATGCTCCCCTAGAAACAATTTACAGACAGGACAAAGGGGCGCAAGGGGACATCGTTCAAGTGGCATTGGGTCATTAAACGGGCACCGATCTGCATCTCTAGATACAACCCATTTCTCAGGAAGCCCCTGAGCGCAGAGATTCGAGCAGATTAAAGGCTGGCACAAGCAGGAGCCAGAAGAGGAAATCATGATGACGCACGGGCTGATTGAAGTATGGAGGGAAGGGAAGGGGGAAAGGTCAAACGAGAGGGCAAAAAGCATTAACCTTACCAGGGTCACTTAAGGGTAAGGTTTTCACTTTTTGTGGAATTCATTAAAATCTTGAGCTGATCAAACAGATTTCAAAATGGTATTCAATTAGTAAACACTGTTGCTACATCATGAAATGAGGTAGGTAAGGTGTTAGGTAAAGATGCCAACATTAGTCAACAAACTAATTATTTATTCAGCAAATATTTTCTTCGCTGCTTTGGTACGAAAGTGTCTGCTTAACGTAACAATGCAAACAGAAAACAAAAGTCCATCACCAGTGCTTTGGTACAAACACAACAAGTGCCAATCTTGTGTTGCTTCAGTTTGACCAAATGAAAACACCATGTCAAACAAGAGAAGAAGCCACACAACACAAACAACGCTTATCTGAGCACGTCAAAATAAACTCATTGTAAACTAAACAATGAACACCGACTGAGAGTGTCTTGACTGCGTCACTTTAATTTGTCTCTCAGGAGTAGGCCTGTCACGACAACAACTTTTTGTTGTGCGATATATTGCCCCAGAAGTAATTGCGATAAGCGATATTATTGTCATTTTAAAGTCCATTTTATGCCACTGAATATATAATCATAATGTAACAGCATAATGCAAGAAGGCCTACATACTTCCAAATTACAACAAACTTTTAATTTTTAAGAATATTTAGATCATGAAAATTAAGGATCAAAATATTAGATACCTTAAAAAAACTTGAATAAACAGTAAATAAACCTTTGATAACAAAAAGTGCAAAGTAACAAGTACAAAAAAAAAAGAAAAATGCACAAAGAACTTGTATGGAGATTTTTCCATCTACAGATTTTTCTCTGACCTTCTTTTCTCTGTAAATTAAGGGTGCACACTATTGCTGAAAAACACAATCACTACTTAGCAGTCAGATGTCCGTATGCACAAAGGCACAGATCCCTAAACAAGGCCATATCTGCAGATGAAACTTTTTTTTGTAGAAGCATTTTTTAAATTTGAACTAGCACCTTATGACTACACCTCATTTTGTACGAGAAGCTGAAAAAGACACAGGTGCAAGTCGAATGTACAAAACATAGTGACATTAATTAGTAAAAGTAAATATAATGGGCGATATATTGCGTCGCCAAAAATTATTGAGGTCATGTTCATAAATTGCGCGGTAAGTCGATATATTGATTATTCCGACAGGCCTACTCAGGAGCTAAGTGAGACCAGGAATCATCCTTTCACTCTGTGCCAATGCCGGCAGCCACAGCTGGGGAGCACGTCTTGCATGCTCAACACGTCTCACATTGCCGCCTCAGAGGAGCGGGGCAGCCTAATGACACTAAACAACTGCAGAGCTGAGACGCTCCATTAAGAAAGGGAGGGGATCCTGGACTGGGCAGGCAGCCCAACAGCAAGTCCATGGGGATATTAGAGTAAAGGAGGCGAAAGGAACTGCTAGAAAGACACAGAAGCTGAGACACAGGGACTAGGATTGGGTATTCATCAATATTCAGAAACGGTTCCATTTAAAAAAAAAAAAAAAAAAAAACTGAATGATTTTCATGACTTGGCTAACGTGGATGGAACACTGTAATAAAATTCTGTGGTAGTGTTTTGCAGATCTAAAAGTCGATTCTTCAGAAGACGACGAATGAATCAGACAGAGCTGAATAAATCTGATGTAGTTGCTGAGTGATTCATTCACATTTAAATCAAAATTAACCAGGAACCATTATTGTGTACTTAAGGACAGTTGTTCATTTGACAGCACGTAGATAAAGAAACATGTTATGAGTTTTGGTATTAGAAATGCACCGTCCACTGCCATCAATCAGAACTGGGCAGTTTTTGCTCCAAACAAGTGATTAGCAACTGGCTAGTTTTTTTGTTTATTTCGGCCGATCACGGATTTGGACTTGCACACAACAAGTCAGAGTGTAACACTCTGTTTGTAGACTTTCTAATATTTCCACACAAATAACAGAAAGTCTACAAACAGAGTGTTACACAGAGACGAGACACACTAAAGGTGGATATAAAAAAAACGGCAAAAAAAAAAATGGCAATCGATATCGGAATCAGATTATTTGGTTGTTAAAAATCAGCAAGCAGAACTGGCCATGAAATATCATGATTGGTGCATCCCTATTTGGTATATAAAAAAATTCTCAAAAAGCACTAAAAAAAATTCCTCACTAAGAGGAATCAGAACAAGAATCGTTACATTCCTTATGATTCCCATCTCTATGAAGAACTGAGACAGAAAGAAATAGAGAATGACACCCAAAAAGACACATTTAAACAAATTTGCTTTTGTTTCATAACCTGTGCACAAAAATAGACTAAAAACTTGACAGCCTTAAAATCAGTTGAAATGCTTAATGGTTTTATTGTGACTGCAGAGATTAATCTTTCCTCACTCACCTCTTCATCCTCCACATCCAGTATCCCAGAGTACTTTTCTGAAAAGGGGTTGCTTCCATTTCTGTCCACCTCTGTGCCTGAGCACACTTCCTTTCGTATCCTCTGTCCACTTGCTGACCGCTGTTGTGATGTCACGGCATTGTCACGAGCGATCTGCACTTGTGCCTGGAAAACAAACACACAGTGGCATGTGTGAACAGGAACATGTGTAAAAACACTGACTGAAAACAATCCCAAAAGCTAATCAGATTTTCACAAAGAGAATCCAATCAATCAAATGAGACAAAAATATATACTTTGTCATTTATTTATATGGAAAATTATCCAATATTACATATCAGTGAGTGGCAAAACTATGTGAATCTCTAGGATTAGCAGTTAATTTGAAGTCCATCTGTTCAGAGGTGTTTTAATCAATGGTATGACTATCAGGTGTCAGTGTGTGCCCGGTTTTATTTAAAGAACCGGGATCTATCAAAGTCTGATCATGTTTGTGGAAGTGAATCATGGCACGAACAAAGGAGATCTCTGCGGACCTAAAAAGAAAAAGTTGTTGTTGCTCATCAGACTGGAAAAGGTTACATAACCATCTCTAAAGAGTTTGGACTCCACAAATCTACAGTCAGACAGATTGTGTACAAATGAAGGAAATTTAAGACCATTGTTACCCTGGCCCAGGAGTGGTCCACCAACAAAGATCATTCCAAAAGCAAGACGTGTAAAAGTCTGTAGCGGCTGGACCAATCAAACACACAATATATATTTTGTTTTTAGTGAGGTTGCAAAGGACCCCAGGTCTAAGTAAGTTCGTTCTAAGTAACTAAAGGCCTGTCTCACATTGGCTAATGTTAATGTTAATGTTAATGAGTCCATCATCAGGAGAACACTGAACAACCATGGTGTCCATGGCAGAGTTGCAAGGAGAAAGCCACTGCTCTCCAAAAAGAACATTGTTGCCCGTCTGCAGTTTGCTAAAGATCATGTGGACAAGGCAGAGGAGAAATGTTTTGTGGATGGATGAAACCAAAATAAAAAAAATTGGTTTAAATGAGAACCCTTCTCCAAATTATGTTTGGAGAAAGGAAAACACTGCATTTCAGCATAAGAACCTTATCCCATCTGTGAAACATGGTGGTGCTAGTGTCATGGTTTGGGCTTGTTTTGCTGCATCTGAACCAGGATGGCTTGCCATCATTGATGGAACAATGAATTCTGAATTATACAAGTAAATTCTAAAGGAAAATGTCAGGACATCTGTCCAAGAATTGAATGTTTTGGAATGGTCAAGTCAAAGTCTGGACCTTAATCCAATTGAAATGTTGTAGAAGGACCTGAAGCAAGCAGTTCATAGGAGGAAACCCACCAACATCACAGAGTTGAAGCGGTTCTGTACTGAGGAATGGGCTAAAATTCCTACAAGCGTTGTGCAGGACTGATCAGCAGATACAAGAAACATTTAGTGGCAGTTATTGCTGCAAAAGGGGGTCAGACCAGATACTGAAAGCAAAGATTCACATACTTTTCCCACTGACAGACATGTAACACTGGATCATTTTTCTCAATAAATAAATGACCAAGTATATATTTTTGTCACATTTGTTTGATTGGATTTTCTTTGTCAACTTTCAGGATTTGCGTGAAAATCTGATATATGAAATACACTGAACAAAATTATAAATGCAACACTTTTGTTTTTGCCCCCATTTTTCATGAGCTGAACTCAAAGATCTAAGACTTTTTCTATGTACACAAAAGGCCTATTTCTCGCAGAAATATAGAAAACTCTGAAGGGCTCACCAACTTTCAAGCAGCACTGAATATAAAACTGAATATAAAAGTTTTTTCCATCATTATAATACTAATTTCTAACTAATTTAAAACCTTTAAAGTGCAAACAACACTTAATTATATAACAATGAAATATTATATATTATCAATCCAATAAACCATGGGGAAAAAAAGAAAGAGAGAGAGAGAAAAATAACTTTAGCATTCACTAACTGCACAATCCCACATGCACTCAAGAAGAACAAAGTCTGAGCTTATGTCGATCATTTTCCCTGACATTCCAAGTAGCGATATTGTACATACTGACAAAGCACGTCTTTCCCATTAGTGGCAACAAAGGGAAAGGCACCTGTGAATAAGGACTTCCCATATGCAAAACATAAGAGTTCAAATGAGTTTTCCTCAATAGAACACTATTCTTTAATAAACACCGTCTGACGTCATGACTGATGTCAATGCTCACGCAACTTTCTCCTTACAGACTCCTCAAGTTATTTGGTGAGGAGCAAGATTCGGGATTGGAGGGCTCTTAAAGCAAAAAAGGGCCTCTTTATAGAAAAAGTGAATGGTGAGGAAACCTCAGCGCCATGAGAACAACAGAATATAAACCAAGCAGCGACAATAGGTTGCAAGGTGGATGTTGTAGCTGCTCGGCGGTTCTACAAAAAGGAGTCAAGACAATACTGTTTTTTCCGATTATTCTTCTTGAGAACGAGAAGGTCTTAATGCACTAATTGGACTACATAAAGATTGAGTGTTGTCATTGTATAAATTGTGCTCCATTTATTTCTTTAGACATGTCTGAAGTTCTAGTCCTCTTCTAATCTCGAGTAGTCATGTGCGTCATAGCGAGGATGTATCGGATGGTGGCACATGAAGAGACCTTCGCAACTCAGAATTCCTTCCCGTTAAGAGCATCAGAATAAAAGGGCTTCATTAACTTCATCAAGAGTTGTGAACATTTCAACCGAATGTTCACATCCATTATTGTTCATACATCTCACATATTTCAATGTTTTGGTTTGTATGGTGTTGCAGGGGTGGTCCTGATCTTCTCATGAAAGAGCATCATTTTTTTCCCAATAATTCTACATACTACTTATAAACCATAAATGCAGCATGTTCCAGTTGTCAGAGCATTTGCGTCAGAGTGATGGGGTATGTGATGGCAAACAAAAAGAAAGAAACAAAAGCTGCAAAAATTCTTTCCCTTCTGTAGAACTTCAGTTTCACTCTGCTGCAAACTCCAACTGCAATCCCACATGCGTGAGCATTGACATCAGTCATGACGTCAGATGGTGTTTATTAAAGAATAGTGTTCTATTGAGGAAAACTCATTTGAACTCTTACGTTTTGCATATGGGAACAAGCACTGCAAAAGACGTACAATCTCAAACAAATTATATATTTGTATTTATTTTTTATACTGTATGTATTGTAATTTTTACCATAACTTTGTTATATGCTGTGTGTATATGAAAAGACAAAGACAAATTTCCATATAAGTGGGAAATAAAGTTTAACCAATCCATCAATTAACCTCAGGCTAGTGATGCACCAGCATTTCAGCAACTGAAAATATTTGGTTTAAGGAGCAAAAAAATTAAATAATAAAATAATTTGAAAGATTTTTCCGTTTCAGACAAAATAGTTTTGGAGGGCTGTAACAATTGTCCCAAACAATGACATTTAATTAGGGCTTCTCTAATGATGCTTTTTGACCATGTACTCGTCAATTTCATGCACATTGTGTATAAGCCAGAACAAGAAAACCTGTCAGCTAAAATAATTCAGAGTTGGCTCGTTGCCAAAGAACTACAACTGGTTTAATTTGTAACCTGAGAACACGACACCCTAAACAGAATATCAATATGTATATCAATTACCCAAATTTAATTTGCCAAACTTTATTTTTGGTTTTAAGCGAAATGAACATTTTAATTTCATTTTCAATTATTAAAAAAAAAATCATTTTGGTGCTTCACTACATCAAACAGATCACATTTTATACTTTAAATGACGGTTGTCTTTTTTATTCAAATGGGTCATCTGCAATGCTTCATGGGCTGTATAGTCCATTTCTGCATAAAAGATGTTAAATACAATCTCAGTACAATGAGCAATGAGTCTCAGTACTCATGAACATTTGCATGGATTTTCTAATAGTCCCGTCCAGAGTTTTGAATTTTCATGATTGTCTGTGGAAAACAATGTTGCTTGACAAGGTGATGATTTCCAAACAAGCAGATATAACCAACCTCTAACCAACACAAAGCAGAAGACAAAGTGAGTATTTTAGGAGTCATTCTGAAGGTAGTGGAAACATTTGTCATTTAAATGTTTGGATCTGTTCCTACAGATGTAATACACAGAGTAAAACAAAACAAAACTGGAATAGAAATGGGCTGAATGTGACAAAGAACAAAAGGGACATGGGGGGAAAAGATTCAAAAGAAAAGGAAGATTCAAATTCAAACTTGAAGTCTATAACAATCTTTGACTAACCACTTCTATATCCTCCAGTCCACAAACATACACAGGCTCTCTGTGCTCAACAGCTTACAATGGAGCCATTATTACTGCACTGGATCTCCCAATATATTTATTTTCAGATCATTTGTTAGTGGAATTAAAACAATCACAGGCTCGGAGACTGGGCCTAATTTCCAGTGGAATAAGAACCAGTCTGCAAGTCTGGATCACAGAGCCCCTAGACAAATAGGCTTCTGTTATTAGTGGTTCGCTTGCGCGCTTACTCGCTCCTCTGGTGTTGAGGATGGAAGAATGGAGCAGGGAGGAGGGAAGGAGAGCCATCCAAAGCTCAAGAGAAGCCATCTCTGCTGTGGAAAGGGAAGTGGATCCTCTTGAGGTTGAGGGTCTTACCCTGAAATAACCGATTTATTGCCCAAAGGTATTTGGTGGTAGTAGTGATGCCATCTGTCTTGTGACATCAGCCTAAAGAACGTGGAAACTTCAAGTATTTCTCCACACTACCCTAACAATGTGTGACCATAATATGCGGTGATGGATGGGCAAAAATGACTAAGAAGTTAAAAAGTAAAAAAAGAAAACGTAAAACCCCTGAACAGAAGAGAAATATAAATGATGGGAGGAAAAGGAGCTCTGTTCTTCATCAGTCAGCAAAGAGCAACGCATCCATTCTTCTCTAGCTTCTACAGTCAGAATGTCTCCAAACGTCACTCCACCACAAAACCACTGGAGCAGAAACCCACAAAAAAGGAAAAAGAGCGACGGCACCCTCCTGTATTTAACAGCAGAAACCACTACTGAAGCTGCAAATAGGCCACAATGAGCGCCAACATGTAAGCAGAGTAGTCACATCTGTTTGCGAGGAGAAGTCGCAGGTCAGAACCAGG